AATAAAAACAAGGCTATACTACAGCTTTTTAAAGATAGCGTCCTTCATTTTTTTCATTTGATGAGCAGAAATGAAACTAATTCCTGATTCAGATTTCTACTAGGTTTGGATTCTAGGTGACTGCTCATTTTTATTTCTAGAAGTCATTTATCTCTGTTTGCTATCGACAGCTTTCATTCTTTATTGAGAATATAAGATACGGTTATGTATTATATCACAACATTTCAGTAAATGCTGCGAGCAGGCTAAGTGTCTTGCCCAAGGACACAACAGCATTCACCTGTGGGAGGTGGAATCACACCCCTAACCTGTGGGTCAGTGGATCTAACCACTCTACCAATGATGTTTATGTCGAGAGCGGGATTCGAACTGCCAACCTTCGGATCAGTGGAAGAACGCTCTGACCAACTGAGCTACTGCTGCAAAGATGCAAGAGCCACTCTTTTTTTTCAGATGTCAGGGACCTGAAGTTCTACCCCCTAAAGTGCTGCTCATGGCCTATTAGAAGAGCACATTACCAAGCTCTAGTACAGAGACAATCGAACAGAACAAATCCAGTTCTGCCAGCTGTAGAACTGTAATGAAACGTAATCAGTGGAAACCTGGAACCCCAAACTGATGCAATCCCAGAAACCTGCAACTTGATCGTTACCTGCAGATGCAAGTATGACTGTAAGACAAGCAAGTGCAGTTGTCACAGTGCTGGCCTGTTCTGCATAAATGGCTACAAATGTCAAAGTATTCCAGATCATTCATGCCAGAATGCTGCCAGTACAGACTAAGAATACAGCCATAATTAAAGTAAGCTAGCACTTCTTTCTCTAAACTCCTTATCTCACACAATAAACACAACATAAAAGAACACACATAAGAGTCCTGAGTATTTTAAGTCTCTGGATGTTGTGGGTCTTGGCTGACACGTCTCTGCAGCGTCACGTGGCGGTCAGGGACCGGACTGGCAGACAGGGGTGGTGGTCCTTCTGTATAAGAAGGTGGGACCGGAGGATGTGTTCCAACTCCAGGGGAATCACACTCCTCAGCCTCCCTGATAAGGTCTATGCCAGGGACTGGAGAGGAGAATCCGGCCAGTAGTAGAACCTCGGATCCAGGAGGAGCAGTGTGGTTTTCGTCCTGGCCATGGAAAACTGGACCAGCTCTACACGTGTCTGATGTTGTCCTGATGGCTTCATCAGACCAGGACCTGCAGCACTGGGGTGGTTTGCAGCTGAGTGTGAAGCGGCTGGGATGACGAGCAGCTCTTCCAAATCTGAGGCTCCAGGCCCCGGATAAGCGGAAGAACATAGATGGATGAATGGATGGATAATATATTCATAAGTTATATATATATTATTAATATGCAAATTAGAAGGATTAGAACTCAAAATCCAGCTTGGGTAAACAAAATATTCTGAATAAGCAATCTCAAATTATGGGGAAAAAAAACAAAAAAAAGGTCTACAGATTTTTCCTCAAATTTGCCGTTTGGACTTCTCTTCTGTGAAAATAATCCTAGTCTATATTAACTTCCTTCATTTCAAATGAAATTTTTGAAAATGAGCTCTCATGGGTCATTTTTGGTGGAGCTTAGGTACTTTTCCACCTGTGAGACAGGTTCAATTACCTTTATTAGACTTAAAAACTAGTTGTTTGTTATAAGGGGAGACAATTGGAGTTTATTTGTGGTACATTGCTTGGAAAAGTGCCATTAATCCTTTGAGAAAATTCAACTCTGTACAAAATTATGAAAAAAGGTTTGTTTGCATTGTTTATTCTATCTTTATTTGAGGAAGATAATTTGCTATCTCACAAAGAAACAGCTTTTCATAAGTAAAGCAACAAAAGTTAAGGTAGTATTCATGGAAACTGATTGGAAACTGATCAAAGGCAAAGTCTCTGATTCTATAACCATGGCTTTCAGTATGTGTGTATGTCAATATGTGTAAAATGTTTGCACAAAATATTACTAGAAGGCAGTAACATTAACAAGGAAAAAATTGATACTGACAAAAAAGTTACCAAAATACAGTAATCTGATCTGCTATTTGTTCAACTGCTAGAAATTACATTTTAAAAATTCAGTGTGAAAAACAACCTCAGCGGAAAATACCAACATACTGGAAAAAAGTGTCCACTTTGGTGCCTTTGCCACCTACATGTAGATCATCTGTATTGGTATCTTGCACATTCAAGTGTTCCTAACTACTAATGAACTTTGGAAGTAATGTTTGGATCCTGTCATAATCTGCAGTGTCAAGGAGGTAATTTTGTGCTCTTCTTCCCTGAACTTCTGGTGCCTTAATACAACAGATTATGTGATGAAACGGGACCCAACATGGTTGCCGATGTTCAGGAGGCCAGATGAGGGTTCTGTCGTCTCCATTCATGAATCTCGCATAGACATCACCATGTTCATCTGAACACACTTCCCAATGAACCACCTCATGTCATAAATACATGCACTGTTTTGACCTGGCTGGTCCAGAGAGATATCTGGCACAATCTCATTTTGTATTTCAGAAACTGACACTTCAGTACATAAATTATCTTGAGATATTCTCCTCATTTCTAATTTACCATTTGACAGCAGAATGAAAGTGTGGTGTGATCTAGTACCATTCACAGCCTTTTCCTTGCTATAACGCTCTTTAAAAGTTGTATAGAGGATTTTTTAAGGGAAGAGAAATACAGCCACAGTCCTTTTTCAAATGTTGTGCATGCCTGACACCACCTTCCTCCTCCACAGCTCCCTCAGTAGAAACATCTCCTCCTGCCTCCTGACTCTAGAAATCACGCTTGTTTACAGCCGTGCGTGTTCAGAATTACTGTTGAAGTGACCTGTGTAGAAAGAATTTAGCGACTGACACATCAGTTTTTAGGCCCTTCGTCTGCTTCAGTCACACCATTACTGGAAGGAATCTCCAAGAATCACCCCAGTTTGGTTTTGCTCCTTTTCCCCTTCTCTTCATCTTTCAGCGACCTCAAAAACTGACTTTCTTTTGCAACAAACTGGTCGTGGATTCTCGTCCGCAATCGCAACAAACTTTGTGCGAATTGCGCAAAAGCTACAGTTTAAAAAAGCCTCTAAGAACCGCTGAATAAACCATGTAATCCCAGTGCGCCGATGAGTCAATTACACTAGAAACATAGGGAGTTTGATTGACAGCCTAACAGCCAATAGAAAATGAGGGAGCCTCGTTTTCTATTGGCTGATGTTTATCTGGCTTCACTACGTCCACAGTTGATGGATTTTCATTCTTTTTTTTTGGTCATTATAATTACAAAGCTGCTGTGTCTCTGTAATGGTATTTTAAACTTTCATTGACAGTTTGAAACAAAAAAAAAATCCTCCATACAACCTTTAAGTTTGAAAGTAAGTTCATGGTTTGTAATGTCTTTAGAGCTTGTAAAGAAAAACTTTACATTATTTATGTTTTGTGAAGCCCACTCAAACATCTGGAGTGCAGTCAATATTTGATTGCTGTCAGTTGCCTGTAGACTGGCCCTTGCAACCAAGCCTATTACTGTGCCAAAACCATCACAATGTAGGCACAAATAATCTCCAATTGTCTTCCCTTATAACAAGCACATAGTGTTTAAGGCTATTAAAGGTAACTGAACCTTTCTAGTAGGTGGAAAAGTACCTAAGCTCCACCAATAATGACCCATGAGAGCTCATTTTCAAAAATTCTGTTTGAAATGAATGAAGTTAATAGTAGATTGGGTACATTAAACTAATCAGAATATGCCAAAGTTTCTCAGTTAAAAAATTTATCAACATCTAGCTGTGCCCACATGAGGAACCGAGGGTCCAAACAAGGGGCCAAAAAGATCATTTGGTCTGTGACCACATTTGGGGCTCTACATCATCCACATGAAAGCTCAGAAAAGTGTGAGATTGTTGTCAGAAATGGTCATTCTCTCATATGTTCAGGTTCAACAGTTAGTTTGTAAATATCTGCTTGGAGTAAATAGATCTTGGACCTCAAAAATTGGAAAAAAAAAATTAACCAGCAACCAAATGTGAGAATTTGTGGACTCACAGTACCCCCTGTAATAAAGACACCCAATATTTGACAACAGATTCAGAATCTATGACCAGAGAATCTACAATAATACACATTTTCAGCTTCATAGCTCTATTTTTTATGAAGGTATTGTCTCTCAAACATGGTTATAAATTAAGGCTTCAGAAAAAGTGAGCATGGCCCCAAAATTTCAACGGGCCATAATTCAGGAACGACTCAAGGGATTGACCTAAAATTTGAGATTCTTTTATTTGGTCATTTCAGAAATTTTTAAAAAAATTTTCAGCCAAATCTGAGATGGCTCATAGGGGAGGGCGGCTGATTTCATATGGACTGACCCTAAAGCCATTTAAAATCACACGTGTGCTAGTTAAGCATTTAAACAATGAGAATTACAAATCAGTGTCAGTAAAACCAAATCCACATCTGCCTTCAGCTTCAGAAAATAGTTTCTTCTGAGAATCATACAAAATGCATGTCATACAAATCAAATATTCATAAGTACTTATCAAGACCTATCCTCAAAAAAGAAAGGCTGTATAAATAATACACCAGTTGAGAAGGTACATGACCTGAGTCTGCAGGAGAAAATATAAAGCACACAATATGTTGGTTCCACATCTTCCTGTATTGAAAACAGCTCCTTTGGCCCACAAAGCTTTAAAATACAACATCACACAGAGAAGCAGGCACCAATTACATAAGGACTGCTCTGGGGTTATGTCAGAGAGATAAAGCTGCTGAGAAGGGCCACACTTTAGGCTTTCATATAAACAGCCATGAGACAATACATATAGTATAATACAAGTTTAGGCACAATTTTAATGGTCATAATTAGTCAACAGCAAGAGCTACACGCAATGCAATGTCCTCTAAAAAGGCAAACATGATATTCATGGAGTCTTGTGCATAAAACATGGTCATGCTTCTGTCTTCTATAAACCAAATGTCCATAGAGGCTGTAACAGCTCATACCTCTCAATCCCCGGCTGAAACTCTGACAGCAGTGAGGGTCGGCGGCGATGAGGTTGTCCCAGATGAGAGCTGTAATCCCGAGCATGATGACCATGATAGTCCACCAGCCCCACTTCCTATAAAGCAAACAACAAAATGTGTCAAATATACAAAACATGTTTCGGGATTGAAAAACTGTCCGTCTTATCTGTGCAGCATATGGTCATTTTTTAAGTAATACACACAGCATTAACATCAAGAAGTGGGAGATAACCCGCTAATATGAGAGGAAGATTTTTATGCAACTTTGGGGAATTTTATTTTCACCACGAGAACATAACGGAACAACGTGAGGTCAGGGGGTGATTCCTGCTTCAAGTCCAGACGGCACTGCCTCTGCTCAGACTCAACATAATCTGGATAATTAGTAGTTGTGACAGGAAACAATGGAAAAGAACCATTATGGGCCTGCACTGACAACATGAACTTTCTACTTGAACATCTAATGAGGGGGAGCTACTGTGTGCACAACACAGTGACCTAGGAATATTTCTGCAGGGGCCCAGCAGGAGGCTGAGGGGTCAGAGGTCAGGAATAATGCTATGTTTACAAAATACCACAGAAGACACTGCCAGACTCTAGCTTCAGATTTATTAACACTTTGTGTGCTGGGTTTGCAAGGGCTAAGCATCTGCCATACTGTGGCATACACTTAATTAAAAAAAAACTGTCGCAACTGGGAAGATGTCCCTACAATTATTAATGATTTCATAAGATCGTAAAACATCTATGCACTAATAATGTTGCAATACACTGCGAAACCCTGGGGGTATTCCAATGTGACGTAACTGGTATAAAAAGAAACTACTTTAGTTTCTTGTACGAATCATCGTTAAATACGCATTTGTGCTTCGGTACGCTGCAGACTGACCGACTGTTTGTGTCTGCTCGCTCCTTCTGAGTGCAGAGAGCTACATGTACGGACCCCTGTTTGGTCACGCTACGCACAGCAACCTACATTCGGTTTGTCGATTAAAATTAACGTAATCGATGAAATTCTTAATGATCAATTATCGAATAATCGATTAATCATGCCCGCCCCTACGATAATGTAGGATACATAAAGGAGAAATTAAATTCTGTCAACTGGACAAAAGTTTTTTTGATCAAATACATTTTGCAGCTCAGCTGTTTCTTCAGTTTTGAAGAATCAACTTGGATGAGTTTGGATGAGCTGCAAAACGTACTCGATAAAAAAAAAAAAAAACATAACAAAACATTTGTCCAGTTGACAGAATTGAACTTCTCCTTTGCTATGGATCCTACCAGGACGACTGAGGGATTTCACAAACATAATGTCGGGTCCTAAAATAGTTACTAATTTGAGCAGGTATCAATCATAGAAATGCAAGATTCTGTTTTGAAAGGTCAAAATCTTGTATAGAATTACAAATGCTAGAAATTTTAAGAGTTCAATTATGGAGATGGTAAAGACGTCAGGAGTGTATAAGACTAGTATATCAATGCCCCTGTTCATTGATAAGTACAGTATTGTTAAAGATAAGCTTTTTCTTTAGTATGAAAATTGAGTTTAAATTAAATAGTTTAGTATACAAAACTTGAATTAGTTCAATTTGATGAGCTACTTTGTTGATCCTGAGGGAAATTCAAGTTAACATGCATGTCAGTGCAAAATTTCAATAGAAAGGACATGAACTGAATCTCGTAAATTGCATAAACATATCTGGAGTACTCCACTGTACAGAACACCAATGCAAGGTGTTACACCGTGATCTGTGCCTGGACTCACCGTGTGTGCCCGCTGGAGCTGAAGAGGTAGAGAGGCGGGGTTGGACAGGTGCCTGGTATCCACTGTCCTCCGGCTCGGTGGCACGGACTGGTGGGAGGACATGCTGGCCCAGCCGCTTCCTCTACAGACAGGAAGTGGGAGTGGTTTCAGAGGAGGCGCCGCACATTATCGGCTGTTTCTCTTTGCCAGCGAACTGTGGAGATAGAGACTGAAAGTTAAGTAGAGCAAGATTAACACATCTTCTATATAGCTCGGTCCATCTGTACAGAAACAAAATGGCCCAAAGATTATTTGCATGGACAAAGCTGTCAAGAGATGAGATAAATTCATGATGAGCACAGGTGCTATAAGATTTGCTGTGGGTACTGCGGATGGCCCTAAGAAACAACAGTACAATAACAAACCACCTTCCACACCATAAAATGAAAACAGACTATTGTAGATATGGTTTACACTGTTAGTAAATGACCCATGGGCAAGACTCAAAAGAATACTGAAAATCATTATTGCAAGTTAACTAATAATAAAGCATCATTTGCATTGCTTGCGCCACCTTGGCTCAGGTCAGATTGGTGGGATCCAGCACCAGCCAAGGGTCTCCAAGTGAAAGCTCTGCTATGTGAGCAATTGACATCATCCAATCATAACAAATGTCTTTTTATCAAATAAAATTTAAACGTACCCAAATTATATGTTTCATCATAAGGCAGATCTCAAGAAGACACGTAGTAATTCCACATTTGTGGTGCTATAAGAGTGACCAAAGCTAGACAAAACTACTTCTGCTTTAATCAACAGCTTCTTTAGCATTTATTTCACTTTTCTGCGCCTTCATGCTGCGCTTAACGTGCAGTACAGTAACGTACAGTAATGTCATATAATACAGTGGGTTTGGCTTAAATTTGATGGATCCATAAACTAGAGGTGTCAAATTATCGTGTTAATTGCGATTAATTAATTACAGTCATATTTAGCGTGTTATGTTTTTTAATCGCGTTAATCTCATTTTTAATCTCTAACTCTACTGTTTCTGCGAGTTGCTTTATTATAAAATCTGTTTTTATGTGTTGTTGGGACAACACCACACACAAAAAAAACACATTTATACATTTTTTTATTTCGGTAATTCCACTCATTGCCGGAAACCCCCGCAAAACGCGCGCAGTAAGAGCAATGTAAACGTCATGTTCACGTTGGCGGCGTCAGTCGCACAGTGCACGAGGTCGAAGAGCCAGTAGAACAGAGGCAGCAGTGCACAGGTAAAAACGCATTCGTGTCTTGGAAATTCTTCTCCCGACGTGAAATATAAAAGAAAATAACAAATATAATATCGCCTACAACTTAAATGTCACTGGTGAAAACAGCCTGCACAGACTCATGATGTCTGCACTACTGTCCTATAGTGACCTGCCACATGAGGGGACACGAACACAAACACAAACACAAACACCTTCATCATCCTCATTAACCTGAGAACGCGCGGACCACATTTCCTTCCGTAGACACTGCGCGGACACCGACGTGCTCCCGTGAGCCGCGTGTGGATCGTGTTTTCTCGTGTCCGCTGCGTAAACCGCTCTTCCTCCTGTGCGCCTCTAAACCAGAACTAACACCAAGACTAAAACCGGGACTAACCCAGTCCAGGACTAAACCAGGACTAAACCAGGACTAAACCAGGACTAAACCAGGACTAAAACCAGGACTAAACCAGGACTAAACCAGGACTAAAACCAGAACTAAAACCAGAACTAAAACCAGGTCTAAACCAGGACTAAACCAGAACTAACACCAGGATTAAAACCAGGATTAATCCATTCCAGGACTAAAGTAGGACTAAAGTAGGACTAAAGCAGGTCTAAACCAGGACTAAAACCAGTGATCTCATATATAAAGCATTTCTCTATCAATAATATTTTTAATATGGTTAAGGAAAAACTGGACTTTTTATTGTCTTTAAGTAGACAAAAGTTATTATGTTCAGATTTCCTCATCTTTGCTACTTTACAGCAAACAGTTTCTTATTCATGGAGACTTGGGCTCAACAGCCAATCTGGAGAGATTTGTTAAACAATAAATTACTTTATAAAGTCACTTTTTTAATCTATATCAGTCTTTTGATCTGCCACAATAATGTAATAATGAATTTAAATGAAAATACCTCAAATTGAAGGCTTTTCTCAGCAATTTTTAGGTGAGATTAAAATGAGATTAATTAGATTAATTAATTACAGATCATAATTAATTAATCTCTCAATTTTTTTAATCGCATGACAGCACTATAAACATAAAACAGGTGTTGCTTATGGACACTAAAATATGGGGGCTTATCACAAGATCAAGTATACAGTGAGAAATTAAAATAATCTTATATCTGAATTATGAGGTCTTGTTATCCTGTCTTAGTTCTTTCTTTTCAAGTCACGTAATTTGGTTGTGTAGCCACGTCTTCACTAAAGCAATCTGGGAGCTGTACCGGACTAGATTTCTCTGGATGTTAAGACCCCTCAAACAGGCTGGTATGGTTTACTTTAGACAGAGGAGACACTTTGGAGCAATGGAAATAAGGCTTAAATAGATTATTTTCGAGGAGCCTTTGGCAAAACACTGTCCTGAGACAATTCAGGTTTCAGTTGTGTGAGCAAGTTAAACATGTGATAATGCAGCAATGGAAGGAGAATACTACAGTAAGTTAAAAAACAAGGGATGGAGATTAACGATAAAGCTGTATTATTTTTACACACATGTAGTACACAGGGATGCCAAAATACTGACATATTATGATACTTAACTTATATTAGAGGTTGCTGTATCAATATACTATACGCATTTCACAAAACTAAGTTGTGGCGGGACAACAAATTCCTTCCTTATTTAGAGAAAGTAAGGTCATTCTAGTCAAGTGGAATATTCACAGTTTTGATTAATTAAATGATTCCTTAAACAGAATGTGCATGTAGTAGTTTAACAAACAAATACTGTAAAAACATTTTCCACTTTAAAAAACTATGATATATGCAGAATGTGCAATGTAATGATCATCATATGTATCAAAAATGCCACAGTGAGCGTTGTATTGTGTATTGTATTGTATTCCCAACCCTAAATTTCAATAAGAGTACTAAAATGTTATTATAGTCCCAGTATTATCTTGAAAACCTGCACTTTCAGGAGCTTTGAATGTTGAATCCTAAATAAACATTGCTATCATAGTAGTTCAAAATGCCCTTAATACTGTATTCTATTCCCAGTAACACAAACAAAACTAGTCACTTGATATGACACTTATGCAAGTGCTTTACAATAGTATCATAGTGTAAACATTTACAGGAAAACCGACCCTGCACGTGGTTACGAATGTCAAGGACCTGCTGAAACCCATCTTTGGCTGCACATTATTAAGCAGGCCATACAGTGATGTCATACTGGTGTCCAACCAAAAGAGCAGAGCATCGAAAAATGAGAGATCCTCTTTGATAAGCATCCAGGGGACCGGAGAGGGTGTCCTGGGGGAGGGAGAAAAACAACTCTGAAGGCAATCACAAGATCTGTTAAGGACAAAAACCTGAATCAAGATGAGGAGGCAAACACAATGAGGGAGCTTTGACATGAGCTCTGAGGCGCATGAGGCCTTAAACACATGCGCTGGCACTGCTACAGACACCCACAGGCAACACAGGCAAGTCCATGGCCCGCTGCCAACAATCCACGAACTCACTCACCTCTCTCCCCCCTCTCCCTCTCCTTTGCGAGCTTATAGGGACGTCTCCAAAAGCGGGCCTCAGCTTAAAGCACACTGAGCCAATATTTCATTCTCTAGAAGACCCCCACCCCTTCTTCACTCCATTTTAGGCTGGGTTGTGGAAATACTAGCAGAGCGGTGTACACAGAGACAGAGAACTCAGTGCATGCCAAAGCAGGAGACTTCAAGCAACGGCTAAATTCGACTGAAATAAACATTCAATCAAACCTGTCGAGGGTGTTCTTAGACAGTTTGTGGAGGCGTTGTGGCTGGTCCAATGCAATGGTAAGGACTGAATCAACAACAAGAATTTCACAGATAGATTGAGCCTTGAGGTAATAAATGAAAACAATCCAACTTGAAATCTGACTATTAATATAAAATCATGCCAATTTTAACTTGACTGTAAAAAACACATGAAGGGTACAATCAATCAGCAAGGTGTAGATTCTTTGGGTGGCAAATCCAGAATGAGAGATCTCAAAGTATTTTTTTTACACATGGATAACAGTTTGGTCGCCACACCCTGTTACGTCTTGAGCCTGATCAAACATGAACAGGAAATCAAATTATTATATTTTTTTTTTTTTCAGTGATGCATGTGAAACAAAGGAGCTCATTGGTCATGGTCACGTATCATTTACAGATTAAATCAAATTTCTCTCACTTCAAATTAACAGAGTTTAGTGCTTTGCTCATTTATTCCACAAAGACATGCAATGTTTTTCAGTCCCCTGTGATATTTTTTTTTCTTTTTTCTTTCCTCTTAAGCTGCCATATTTATTTTGATATGGACGGACCACACATGATCCTGACTGGCTAAGCCACCTGTCGATCCACCTGCCACCTGCCCATCTGAAAAAAATGACCAGACTGACATCTTCCACTGTGAGAAGTGTGCATTCTGGATTCCAGGAAAACAGATTCTATCTTGAAATAATAAAGTAACTCAGATCAGAAACAGATTCATATTTTGTTCGAATCCCCACCAACAATGTTCACTATCTGCATCATTTGGTCTATTACTGCCTTTTCCTAACACTGGAAAATACAATCCAATATAACTTCTCTCCAATAAACCCACACTATTAAGAAACATTTCCCAACTGTGGACTGTAAAGCTAGCTATAGAAATGAGTCAAAACACAAGCTAAACTTACATAACTAACATAAATTTGAAGCTTTATGACAAGACAGTTCATAATTTAAAATTCAACAGTGCCGGGTCATTTTGAAGGTTTGATGACAGTTCCTCTGAAGCAGATGTGAAAAAGACACTGTGATGTGTATACTGTAAACTTTGGCGATAGAAGAGTATAAAGCGTCCCGGATGATGGGAGGATGAAGGAGGGGGGCTGCTAGGACTCAGCCCCGAGGAATGTGACACCCTGTCAGCTCCCATAAGGATTTATCTCCCTGGAGCCTCATTACCCAAGTGCCCGGGACAAGGAGAC